CGTCGTTGTGCTGCCACGCTCCTGGCTGGCAGAGGTCAATGAGCAGGTTCTGATCGCCGACTTTTCGCAGTCTGCCTCAGTCTTCCAACAGGCTGCGCGGCCCTTGGTAACCCTGGCGACGACCGAGCCGGTATGAATTTCGTTGGTGTCAATGCCAATAGTGGGAGATGGCTAAATTTTACGGAGACATTGCCACGGTCTCCAACTCTTTTTCTTTCTCCATCGGGCTTCCGACCGGCAACAGCGTAGTTTAACATGTACCGTGAAATGCAATTTTGGCACAGTCATACACTTATATGGATACATTCAAGCTAGGACAGACAAAATTTATCTGCTTATCGACTACAGATCCGGAAGAAATATTAAGCAGTACTATCTATAGAATAACATAATTATGCAAACTTACATTCTGGACAGGTTCCGCCGTAATAAATTTTTAAAAGTTTCTGGCTCCGTCAGAGTTCTCAGGTGAGGTGAAGCGTAACTCAACTTTTCATTCTAGCGTACATCGAGTTAAGCTTTTTAAGTGCCGCTTTAATTCTTGATTTACGGCTTGCCAGCGCGCCAGGTAGTGGGTGGGATGATCATCGAGGATCTTGTTGGTAAAGTAATCGTCGGACACAATGGCAGGCACGATCCATTCATACTGTAATCTAGCTGCTTTAGTAAGAAGTCTTTTGCAGGAATGAATGAAGCGCAGCTCCTGGCAGAGAGTCTTCAAGAAAAAATTCATAGCCGCGAATGTCACTGCGGAGTTACGTCGAAGAACCGCCAGCGAAGACAAGGATGTACTCTCGATTGGCGCAGCGTTCGGACGTAGAAACACATTCTTCTCTTCTTAGGGAGGGTACGCGCCCATTCTTTGATGCGACAAGGTAGTCGTTCAGCCGTAATCTGAAATAGCGAAGGACTCCCACTTTTGCGGGATGGATTGATCAATCGTGCGGTACGCCCGTGTCATGACATGAAGCACGACCGACTGTTTGTTGCGTGCACGGAAATGATTTCAAAACATTTCTTGACGTTCAGCCTCAGTCCATTCAATCGTGATCAGTCCTCTATTTTTTCACCTTTTCAAGAAAAGGAAGGGGACTTTTTTCTGCCTATGACCATCGCCACCACTACTTTGTCATCAGCAAATCGTCAGATGCAACATCAACCAATTTGACAGTCAGTCGAATAGCAGAGGCGAGAGAATCGATCCTGGGTAACACAGAGGTTGTCTGCACAGATCGTTGATCTGTGCGGTGCCAATCGTACGAACTGTGATCTATCCGACAAGTACGCTGTAAAAAATCTTGCCATATTCGGATTACAATCACTGCCTCAAGATATTCAATGGCGCATCACTGAAAGTTGAGGAAGGCACTCTACGCCGGCCTCCCTGCTTTGTCCAGCCGCTGGGCAACCTGTTAGACCAGCACATTCCATTCTTCTGTGATGCTTGTAGCCCGTCTGAAACTAAAATGAAACGGATCTAGTCAGAATTACTGAAGTGTACTGTAGCAAAATCATCTGGAAGCACTTGGATGCGCAGGAGAAAACAGTAATTGGGCAGAAGTCATTCAACCCAGATGAGTATTATTTCTTCGGAATTCTGGTAATGCCGACGAGCAGACTTGATCATAGTAGCTGTCCCTAACGAAAATACAAGTTGGTCATCTTAGCGAAGATTGCTGCTAGTTCCATGCAATAAAGTTTGAGCACTGCAGAAGCCACCCCATCAGACCTTGCAGCAATTGGAGATGCGTTTCAATCAATGGATGGCATCTTCCTCATTAAGAAGTGGATATTTATTTTGATGTCCTTATGATTATCCAATCCCATCCGATATTACGCAGGCATGTCTTTTCCCTCGAATGGGAGGAAGAATTCATTTAAAACTTCCGGATTCAACGCCAGCAGCAAGTATAGCCGCCAAATCACCTTCAAATCACGCCACAGCTCTCGCGGACTCGACGATGTTGGTCTGGAAAAACAACAGGTATTCAGGGGGTGGATTTCAGTTCTTGTTGCCAACCGAATTACAGCATTGCCATGTCATGTCGCAGGGAAACATGCTCCTTCTACTTTGGCAGCCACGACTACTCATGAGAGTGCTAGTACAGAAGATCTGTTCTATGGGGTAGCAATTCTCTGAGACAAAGTTAGTGTGTAAGGCTACCGCTCCGTCTCGTTGCTGATAATTTAATCAGTAGGAGCTGTGCATTAGCTCGTTAGATGGGTAATCGGAGGACGAAAAGCGGCATGGACCAGTTTTAACAGTATCGAGCCGTCGCTGCAACAACGAGTTTTCCATGAGGGTGAAGAAAGAACTGTTTAATTTAACCGTCAACGGCCATGATGCATGACACTGAATGTTAGTCTTTTATTAATGCCGATACAAAAATGTCATGTAATGCAAAGAACGATGGAAAATGTGTAAAGTAGTCCTTCGGTATCGAGTTCCGAGTTCACAAATTCTTCAACAGACCGAAAAAACATGATTTTGTCACAGATATGGTTTCCTCCCTCATGGCGTCAAGAGAAGATAGACCGGCCGTGTTGCTCGGCTGAAAGACAGGACGTAAAGAATTGCGAACCAGATTCTGCTGCTCTGCAAGAGTCAGCTCACTCGCCTAAGGAACAACCTAGGGGAAAAAATTGGTTGGAATACTATTCAACAGCGGTGGAGATGTCAGTGTAGAACGAGGAACATTGGAGGAGTGTGCATTTGTGTTCATGCTGCATTCGTAATGAAGACAAACCAGACAACCGAATGAACTTGTCCCCTGTGCTTGTATATAGCTAACGGTGAAACGGGTAGCAATTGTTGATCTAAACACACTGGGTACCGCATAATGTTTTGATGTTATTATGCCAGAGCTCACAATACTTATAATTGAGCTGAATGGTACATATAGTTTACGTCGATCTACTCGGTAGGTGATTTAACCGGTCCAGAAATACTGGAGAAAGAAACAACTACTATTAATGAAAGGTATTGGAGGAGGTGCTAATGCTTTGCTTATTTGAATGACAATAACTGGCCATTACTTCTATTCCAGAGCGCAGGGCAATAGTTAACAAGATGCTGTGCAAAATCCTTTATTTTCAATCTCGTTAAGACTCTGCGCACCAACGTTATCATCATAGTTTTGACAATAATGGTATCTAAAAATTTTCTGCAGCAGCGCAACGTTTTTGCAATTTCTATATGTTACACAATACTGAATTCATATTACAAAATGAGCTGAACTATGTACAAACGAATAAATGGATATTTTGATATTTATTCTAGTAATGTTGATGTATTTGGCTTTGAGCAGTGCCATAACGAACCTCTTAACGTTTTCATGTACTTTAATTTATAAATCGACTGAATACACTTTTCATGTCACTCGCGAGATGCTGAGAATTGAGGAGGCCCTAAAAATATTTTATTTAAGAACATTGCACGTTCGTGCAACTCGTGATTCTCCTCGAGATCTGCTGCAACCGCGTCTAGACGAAGAACAAAACTTTAAATCATAAACATGAATACAAATGTTCTCTGCTGGTCCTTCCAAAGATAGAATCCACCATGCTAAGGAACAACAGCTTCAGTGGTAGTAGCAGCCAAGGTAACGCTGGCGACCCTCTGTCTCTGACAGTACTTCCGGAAACGGATAACAGGAAGGGCCCTTCTCATGGAAGGGTTGAGGAATAGGTAGACAAACGAGGTTATGCACAACGAAAAGGAACTGACAACCCAAACGTAGCGGTCGAAAATGTGGTATTGTTCTCTTCTCAAACGGACTACGTAGTACAATGACAGTGGCAGCACGTGAGTGATGACAAAGATGGCCATCATTATGACGACGGCTTTGGTCAGTTGAAAACTTGAATTCTGCAGTGGCATTTGCTCGCGGTACGACAGTTTAATGCGCATTATTACAACGGCGACAAAGCATAGTGAAAACGACATGTAGCCGGTAAAGATCATGTAGAAAAGATGCATTTTTCGGTGCGTTTTCCCTGCCACTTCTCCGTAGGTACACAGGCTGGTGATGCCGCCGTTCTTTAACGTGATCGCTGCCGTAGTCCAGAGCAACATGCATTCCGCTGTACTTAGCACAGAGACTATTATCACAAGACGTTTGTAGAATTTCAGGCTAAGGTTCAAGTAACGCTTCCAAGAAACTGCCGTAAAAACACGATCCATCGACAAAAGAAAAGTGCATGCGAACAACAGAGTATCGCCGATTTCGTAGAAACTGATGTGCACTCCTCGAGTTAGACAGGTCAAGACGCTCGAATATGCCGATTTATCAGAAAAGTAGGTCTGGAATGCCTTCACGATGTAACCGATCGCCAAGATGAGTGAAGATGCGCAAATACCTAATTAATTGGCGTAAGACGTAAAACGGTTCATCAAGAAGCCACGTCAATTTCAAGCACAGTGAGTTTTAAATTTAAAAATTAAACGATATTGTCGAAAGAATTTAATAATGACATGTACATCAAGAATATTGCCTGTGCACATGAGGTTACACAACTATTATTGACGCTCATCAGAATTATTGACATATTCAATCACCTCGATGACACGTTTTTTATTGCAGAAACGCTTTAGGTATAGGGAAAGGCAGTCAGTCATAATAACACAAGAATGTCGAACATTGTATCACAGTCTATTAATCGATCTCATGCCGAGATTCATGAATATTCACTGTTTGGATCAAGTTGAATAGTTAGATGATGCACAACTCCTCATGGGAAGGCAGCAAAATAAACGGCCTATGAAGTACGGCCATAAATCATAGAACTTTTCTGATGAAAATCCTCAAGCAGAGTCGTCTTGTCAAGCTTTACACTTCCTTTCAGAGATGCGGATGGCGATGGCTGGTAGTCGTAGGCTGGAACCGTTGGATGACAGAGACCGAAACGATGATTATAGCGAATGAATGAAGGAAAACAGAAATTGATATGTAAACGATTGAATGAACGGATGAATGAAGATTACTGCTTGAGTCGGCACCAACGAGCGGCACATGATTCTGCACGCCACAATTTAATACGTTATGCTAAAAAACCACTGAACCGGAAACATTGTTATGTTTCAGCATTTTGAAAAACTATTCGCATCGTCCAACTTTTAAACCTTGCTTTTCCGAACTTTCAGCGTAAGAGACAATTCTCTGTCTAATTGTTGGGGGTTTAGTGAGGAAGTTTTCAAGACTTTCCTACCGTTCCTCCGCAAGGGTC